CACCCAGATGGTGGTCCTAAGCGAGGACTCAGATAAGGACCCTGGAGGTGGGGATCAGAACAGTTCTTCAAGCGGCGCTTTGCCGATATATCAAATGTCCAAAGCAGCGTTTTCTCCTGGGCATCTAGGCGGGAGGACATTCAGCTCTCAGCTCCAGGACGTCGTGTGCCCCTTGGACACAGAACGTGGGCCAGGTTTCAGGGCCCACCTGCCCCTGCCTGCACCACTGTCGGTTCAGTTGGCTTCGCGGTGGCTTTTCAGAGCCCCTGCGCCCTGTGACTGAGGGGCTTGGTGGCTGCTCGGCGCTGAGGGTGAGGGGTCCGACAGGGATAAGCACTTCTCGAATTAATGTGATAAATAGGAGATGCTCAGCGGCCAGACACGTCCCCTGGGTCACCTGTCAAACCTGATTATCTGGAAGCTTATTCCTCCAGAGTCTTGGACTTCAAATTAGAAATTTGCCTTCTGTTCCTCCCTCTAATTCCTTTCTCAAGCCTCAGTTTGTCCACTTCCCTTGGAGGGATAATCCTCTTAACACCCATGCACGCTGTAAGAATACATTTGCTTTCATGAGAAAGAAAGGGTTGCCTTAACACTAGGTTGGTCAGGACTAGCATTTCTAGATGCTTACCTACATAAATCAAAATCTCTCTGGGCACTTACCATTTCAGTCCTATGCAACGGTAAGATGCAGGTTGTTTTGATTATTTTTTGTAATCAGATATATCCATTCTAATTCATAGTGATGCTTATCCCTTTCTTCCTCCAAATTCTAACCCAGTGGAAGAGTTTGATATATTGCACTATTGCCAGGAAGAATGAAAGTGAAATTTCAAGTCAGTCAGTCGTGTCCAACTCTTTGCGACCCTATAGACTATAGAGTCCATGGACTTCTCCAGGCTAGAATACTGGAGTGGGTTGCTGTTCCCTTCTCCAGGGGATCCTCCCAACCCCGGGATTGAACCCAGGTCTCCCGCATTGCTGGCGGATTCTTTACCCACTGAGCCACAAGGGAAGCCCTGTAGACATTAGCTATGAAGTATTTTTATCATTACTGTAAATCACCTGCTCCTGTTAATAACTGTTGAATGCTCAGATACCTAGCCCTCGCTCAGAGCCTGAAGGGTGCCTGCCCTGTGAGGTGTGTGTGAAAAGGGATCATCCGGGGAGGAGACAGTTGTTTCTGATGGACCTCAGTCACCCTCCCTGGGTAAGGGGTTGGTTACACTGGCACTGGGAAGCCCCTGGTACGAGCAGCGTGGATTCAGGTGTGCACCATTGGCAGTCCTAGTGCCAGCGGCTGGGAGGAGCCCTTTGAGACAGGAAGGCTCTGGCACTGGGCCTTTAGGGAAGGAGGGTAGGGCACCCAGCCATGGTTCCCTCAAAGGGAGCCACCATCTTCCAGATTTCATCCAGTGACAAGTCTGTTGGCAGTGCTCATTCACCCATCATTCATTCGTTCGTCCCATGAGCATTTACCAAGCACACTTCAGGGGCCTGGCATTGTTAGCCCCTAAAATAGCTAGTGGGCTTCCCTGGTGGTTTAGCTGGTGAAGAATCCTGCAATGCGGGAGACCTGGGTCCGATCCCCAGGTTGGGAAGATCCCCTGGAGAAGGGAATGGCTACCCACTCCAGTATTCTGGCCTGGAGAATTCCATGGACTGGCCTGGAGAATTCCATGGACTGAACAGTCCATGGGGTTGCAGAGTCAGACACAACTGAGCGACTTTCACTTTCACTTTCAAAATACCTAAATGGAGGACATGACTCCTGTCTTCCAGAACCACTCAGTCTCACAAGAGAGACAGTTGCATTAACTTTAACATCAAACAGTGTGGTCTGTACAGGGATCACTGTGACCACAGGAGGATATGTGGCACTGAGGTCCCGAGGTCTAACGTTTTACCCAAGATCGGTGAGGAGGAGGAACCAAAGGCTCACGGCAGCCTTCCTGGAGGAGGTGGTAGTCGAGCTGGATTTAGAGGTGAGATTTGCAGTTAGACTAGTGTCTGAGCCACCTGCTGGCTGTATGCATTTGGGTAACTTATTCACTAAATCTTAATTTTGTCATCTAAACAATGCAGGTAACAGTGTTACCTGCCTCAGAGAATTGTTTGAAGAGTAAATGAAGCAATATACATAAAATGCAAACCAGAGTGCCTGGAACAGGCCATGTCCACTAAAACTGATAATCACCACTCCTGGCATCATCATTTGCCAGACATTCTTCACAGTGAAACTTTATTATATGAAGAATTAATGAATTTAGTTGTGTATGTGAGTGAATGAAGTCGTGTCCGACTCTGCAACCCCATGGACTGTAGCCTGCCAGGCTCCATCCATGGGATTCTCCAGGCAAGAATACTGGAGTGAGTTGCCATTTCCTTCTCCAGAGGATCTTCCTGACTCAGGGATCAAACCTGGGTCATACAGGCAGACACTTCACCATCTGAGCCACCAGGGAAGCCCCAGCTGGGTATAGATACTGCAGAGAGAAGGAACTTTGACATTATTTCTGAGTAGTTCATTTGTGAATCAAACAGATCATCTGAAGAGCAAAATTAGCCCTTTGTCTAAAAGTCACAAATCCTTGTAGCCAAGGACTCTGAGAATCTAGTAGAAAATGTGTAGAATTTTTCTAGAGTGGTGGAGTATTATTTTTTCTTTTTTAAAAATGAAACACTTTAAGCATTTCTCTGTTTTGATTTCATTTTTTATTTCAGTATCAATAGATATAACCCATGTAAACAAGATCTCTTGAGGGGTCTTGCAATAACTTTGCAGAGGGACTTCCCTAGTGGTCCAGTGGCTAAGACTCCACGCTCCCAGTCAGAGGCCCAGGTTTGATCCCTGGTCAGGCAACTAGATCCCATATGCCGCAGCTAAGACCTGGTGCAGCCAAATTAATTAATTAATTTTTTAAAATGACTTTGCAGAGTCCAAAGGGATTCTGAGATAAGAGGACTCTGAGAACCTCCGTCCTAAAAAACAAGAGCTTCCGGGTTCCCTTTCCCCAGACCGCTGGGCTGCAGGGAGGCAGGACCGCCCAAGCTGGCTGAGCTGTGTAGACAACACCCGCAGACATTTCTTGACCTGTCATCTAATAACACCCTCTTCCGTCTCTCCAGGTCAGGGCCTCAGTCTTAGCTGTACGTTGGCGTTACCTGAGCTATTAACGAATAGATGGCTGGCTCCACCCCTAGCATCAGTGATGCTGTAGCTATGGCATCATGATCGTTTTTTTAAACCTTAAGTGATTCTAATGTGAAGCCAAGGTTGAGAACCTCTGTTGGAGGTAGTCAGTGAGAAGGTAAGCCAGCTTGGGAACAGCGTCAGGATGTAGCAACAATAGTTTCATTGATTTAACTAATCATTGCTATTAAAAATCTCAGAGAAGCTACATCCATCCTTGTTATCAAAGTTAAAATACTGATTTTCCATAAAGAGATTGAAAACAGAACAAGACTCCCAAAATCAACAGCAGTTTCATCATCTTGCTGCTTAGGTTTTTTTTTTTAAGTATTCTGACACACTTTGTCTCCGCACGGTCAGTTCTTAGCTGAACTCCATCAGCTCTCCTGCATCACCTTTGAACTTGGCCTCGTGGTCCTCCTCACACGGCAGCACTGACTCTGGAGGCCTCCCTGGTCCTTCTCCAGAACCACCCTCTTACGTGTCCCCGTGGGTGCTGTCTGTGTGGGGATTGTCCACAGAAGCTGGATTCTCAGGCTGGTCCCCAGCCCCCTCCCGCGTTTCACTTCCACCAACCCCCTCCCACCGAAAGATTTGAGCATATTGAGAAAAATCCACATTTCCTTCATGTTGGGACCGTCAAAACACAATATGGATGGCCAGTTTATCACTGCAAATACTCTTAAAAATGAATAATGGTACGTTTGAAAACCCCAGCAGAAATTATTTTTATGCTCGCAGAGTGGACCCAACTCAGTTTATTTGAGTAGTCAGCATGTATCTGTCTATATTATCACCACTTACAACCTCATAAGTTGATAGTTACCACTGACAGGGTTGGAATGTTTATCTCCGTATTACACTTGAGAATGAGTTATAAATTAAGAATGTTGCCAGTGAATATAAATATCACCTGTTTTCAATGTGAAGTAACTGAGACTCCTGTTCTTGGTTCTGAAACTATTTCTCCAAGAGGGGACGTGGGAAAGAGGTGGGGAGAGATCCCCGTTTCGGAAGGTGGCCTCTGTCTGGTAGGAGCTCCCCAGGTCAGCATGGAGGAACGTGTTGTTTGACTCATTTGATGTCTGAGTAGCAGCCCTTTGGCCAAATCCGTCTGGCTGGTGAACCTCAGGAGGGCTGCCTGCCCCAGCCCCTCGGAAGAGCAGCTTTTACAGAACAGTAAGGCGGGTGTAGCTTCTTTGCTGTGGCCTGACCTCCAGTAGGCTGGTGTTGGCCTCTGCGACACAGCGGGCGGAGTGCGCTGTTCCTGTAGTTTTAAGTCACGTCCTGGACTATGTCTATAGATCCTTCAAAGACCAGGGGAACGAAGTGGGCGGTTGCTGGGTTTGAGAACAAAACCCTCCACGCGGAATCCTCCCCAGCAGACCAGGGATGTCCCGCCCCTGCCCCCCAGGGAGTCTCCACTTCCAGGCCCCGGGAGGGGTGCTCTGTCGCCCGCCTTGGTCGCCCTTCCGGCGTGCCGGGTTTCAGCAGCGCGTCTCTGCTGCGTCCCCCTTCTCAGCCCACTCGAGGCTCCTGGAGAGTCGCTCTGAGTGTAAGCTCTGCTGTGACTCAGAGGGCAGCTGATGCCAAGGACAGGAACTAAGACCAAGGACAGAAACTAGGATGCCAGGCCCCAGCGATCGCATGGGGTGTGACCCTCGAAACTCAGACACCCCCGGGGGAGGGACGCGTGTGCGTCTTGGTCTCGTGTCTGTGTGGGGGCTGCGGGGCGTGCGGGGTTGGCTGGTTCGGTGTCCTTTCGCCTCTGACGCCGTCTTCTCGAACCCCCACCCCAACCCCGCAGGCTCCATCCACGCCACGTCAGTCGCGGCCTCCAGAGTGGAGCAGGCGCTGTCGGAAGTGGCCTCGTCCCTGCAGAGCAGCGCCCCCAAGCAGGGCCCCCTGCACCCCTGGATGACGCTGGCGCAGATCTGGCTGCACGCAGGTACCGCTCTGTCCCCAGCCCCACCCCGCCTGCCACCGCGCCCGAGGGGGGCATGCGCCCGGGGCGGCAGCGTCCACGCAGGAGCAGGGCCACTGCCCCCCAGACCGCCTCTGCCCAGGACCGCAGAGCGCGCTGTCCCGGGCCCGGAGCTCCGGCGGGCCTGCTTCAGCTCTGAGGCTCCGTTTCCTCCTCCGCGCCGCGGGGTTCACCGCACCCCCTCCTGGGGTGATGAGCCTCCGTTTCCTCCTCCGCGCGCGGGGCTGTGATGAGCCTCCGTTTCCTCCTCCGCGCCGCGGGGTTCACCGCACCCCCTCCTGAGCTCAGCACCCCGCACACTCCAGCAGTGACAATCCCAGAGACCCTGGGAGGGGGGTCGGGGTCCGGGTGACAGGCGTCTCCATCTAGGCCGGGGAAGGACAACACTCTGTGTCCAGACTCCCCTCTCTGACGGCACCCCTGGCGATCCTCAGACAGCAAGGCACGTACCCATTGCTGCCTGAGGGACGCTAGCCCAGAAAGCAGGTGCGACCCCCCACAAGCCCAGTTTCACACGGCTGCTGCTGCATAGCTAGGAAGTCTCCCCAAATAAATCCAGCACACGGACATTTTAGCCGTGAGAATCCCCCTGCAGGGAGCCAGTGATGGCGGCTGACTTGCTTGCATGTGTGTAGTTCCGTGTGAAAGGTCACTTCCGCTTCTCAAGTTTCAGCCCTTGATATGCAAGGCCTTCCCAGGCTTGGCTGCGGGGTGCCTGGTGAAAGCCCAGATCTGGCTGGGCAGAGTGCTTCTTACCCACCACCGCCCATCTGTTTAATCCGCTTGTGCCAAGGCTAATTGTACGATGCTCGACCTTGTTTGCAACCTTTGTGTAAGAAGACACAATTGGGTTTATTTACCTGGCTTGGGCATGTCCCAGAGCCAAGCTCAGCCAGCGCCTTCTGTGTTGGCACCTTTAAATGAGCCGTAACAATGCCCATAAATTAATAAATTATATTCTTCTGAGCAGAAGCACAGGCGAGGGGTGACTCAAGGCCGCTCATTGTTCTCCCTGCTCAGATGCTTGTCAGCCTTCGGCCTCTCGGGGGCTCTAGACGGGCTGATGCTGAGGACCCAGGAGCAGCAGTGAAGCCGCCCTTGCGGCTTGCTTGCAGAAGGGCCCGGTCCCCAGTCTAGGACATAATGACTGTCCTCTCCCGTCACCCTCATGAGCAGTGATGGCAAAAACCAGAAAGAGAAGCGGTTCTCTTTAGTGTCCAGCTCAGGTGAGACTGCCTGAACCTGCAGGGCGAGTAGCGGGGCAGCGTTGTCCTTCAAAATGGGCGTGAAGTTGAGCCACTGTTGTTGTTTTTAACGGGCATTTACTTGGCTGCTCCGGGCATCAGTTGCGGTAGGCAGGACCTTTAGTTGCTTTGTGCAGACTCTCAGCTGCGGCATGTGGCGTCTAGTTCCCTGACCAGGGATCCAACCCGAGCCCCCTGCGCTGGAAGCGTGGAGTCTTAACCACTGGACTGCCTGGGAAGTCCCTCAAGTTGAGTTTTTGAAGGGCCAAAGTCTGCAAAGCCAGAGGGCTGACGGTGACCCTTCCAGGCTGGACCCAGCTCCCCTGACCCCTCAGGCCCTGCTGTTCTTGCTTGTGTCTCAGAAATGCTCATGAGCTGGATGACGGGCAGTGAGTCCAGGACAGCTTCAGTGGTGGATGCTGGCCCCGTGCTCAGAAACCCACACTTTGCTCCTCTTGGCGGGGTCTACCATGACCCTTGGAAAGAAGCTGTGTATCTGCTTCTGAGAGCATTGACGAACTTGGCAGCTAAGATTCCATTGGAGTTGTCCTAGAAGTTTTATTAATCACGTGGCATCCATTTCTCGTTGCCATAGCCTGTAAGAGAGAATAAGGCTCTCGTTGCTATTAATAGGTATGGTTTTTAACATTCTAGGAGTTGGTGGAATTGAATTCTGGAAAGCAAATGTCGTACCTGCCGTATAAACTCCGAGCAGAATATAAATCATGCTTACGTAGCATGAATAGTGGCATAAATTAGAATCTTAGAGGACTGGTGCCATATTGACTCTTTCAAAGCACTGACTTTGTTTGAGTCAAGATTAGAATTGTGTCATATATTCAACCTAGTCTTTGAAGAGGTAAATTCAGAAAGAATTCATAAAACAAGCTTCCACTGAAATGTAAGGTTTTACCATATGTGGTTTGAGCTTGACTGCTCTGGGCGGCAAAATAAAAGTGACCCACATTTTTTGAGAATGTATGGAAACCAGGGAACATCTGTGCCTGTCATCAGCTCCAGCAATACCGCCAGCTTCTGTAAATGTCGCAGGTTTCAGAGGAAGAAGCTAGATCAAGGCCTGATAGCCCAGGTCATGGGTTTCTGTGGCCTCCGTGGGTCTCTTTTCTCCTGGTCGTTTTTCTGGTGGTCTGAGTATAGCGGGAGCTGGTGAGGTGGGGCCCGATGGAGGCGGCTCTGGGTTTGAGAGTGGCAGGTGAGGCCACTCCAAGGTGACCCAGACATCCAGCCTGTTATATAAGCAGGTCCTGGGCTGCTGGGTGTGTGTCTGAAAGGCAGAGAGGTCGTGACTGGGACCCCCGACCCTCTGCTGCTCAAGGGAACAGCACCAGCCCTGCGGGGAGCCCAGGAGAGCAGGGACGCTCGGCACCTGAGGGCCCCCCGGGCGGGGAGACTGTGCCGGGGCAAAGCCCCCGGGCACTTCTGACCCAGAGCCCCTGGCTCCTCCCGGGATACCCAGCGGCCAACCCACGTGGGTTATATTTGTTCGGTCGCTTGGTTTGTCTGAACCTATGTGACAATTTCATTTAAATTATGTTTGAAAAAAATCATCCAAGCTCACGGTACACCGTTTAAAGGGCACAAAAGACACGGAATGCAGGCGTCCCCCACCCTGAGCACCGGTCACCTCCCCGCCATGGCCGCCACGTGAGCGGCTGCAGCCCCACCAGAGGGGTGACTTTCCCCGAGGCCGCTACCTGTCACATCAGAGGGTGAATCCACTGTGGGAATTGACCATCATTTAACCGATGATCCGCTGATTCACATTTAGATTATTTCTAGTATTTTCCTGTTACAGACAGTGCATCAGTAAATAGCCTTCTGTACATTGTTCTGTGTAAGTTCAGTTCAGTTCAGTTGCTCAGTCGTGTCCGACTCTTTGTAACGCCATGGACTGCAGCACGCCAGGCCTCCCTGTCCATCCCCAACCCCCGGAGTTTACTCAAACTCATGTCCATTGAGTCGGTGATGCCATCCAACCACCTCATCCTCTGTCTTCCCCTGCCCTCGATCTTTCCCAGCATCAGGGTCTTTTCCGGTGAGTCAGTTCTTCGCATCAGGTGGCTAAATTATTGAAGTTTCAGCTTCAGCATCATTCCTTCTGTGTAAGAATAATTCCTAAAAGTGGAATTGATAGATTAAAAGTTACTCTTTGTTTTTGGTAAATTTTGTCACATTGCCTTCCACAGCTGTGCCAGGTTGCATTCCAGCCGATAAGGTGTGAGGTCTTCCCTGGTGGCTCAGTGGTAAAGAACCCGCCTGCGATGCAGGAGACCCGGGTTCAACCGTGGGTCAGAGAGATCCTCTGGAGAGGGAAATGGCAACCCACTCCGGTGTTCTTGCCTAGAAAATTCCATGGACAGAGGAGCCTGGCGGGCTACAGTCCCTGGGGTTGGATATGACTTAGTGACTAAACAGCAAGATGTGCAAGGCCGTTTCCTCAGATCTTTATAGCACAACGAGCTGTCAGACTCCCAGATCTTTGCCAGTCTGACAGGTGAAAGTGGGGTTTCAGTCGTCTGCTCGTGGGTCCTGCCGTTCATCTTGGATACTGAGCCTTTCTTTTTGATTTGTAAGCACTGGTTACGTTTCGCACCAAAGAAATTTGCCTCGTGTCACGTGCTGTCTTTTCTCTCATTTAGTTTGTGTTTTAGGGTTTTGTTGTGATTTTTTGACAATTTTTTTTTTTTACATTTATCAATCTTTTCTTTATAGCATCTGGGCGTCACATGATGTTTCAAAAGCAACCACCCATTTTTATGGTCTCTTTTCCTAAAAGTTCCAAGTATCTTCCAGTGCTATTTGTAATATATACACCATCTTATAAAGAAGGTCAGAAGGGTTATTTTCCTCTCTTGTACAGAAGGGAAACCCAGGCCAGAGAGAAGCGAGCTCCTCTGTGGTCTCACTGAGACAGGAGTTAGGAGGGCGGAATTAAAGCATGTGATGTTGGTTGCTCCTCATAGACGTATGTCTCTGGGAGTCATAGACCTGTTTGTTTAGAAGCACACACATGTGGTCACTGGCCGTTGGAAATTCATAGATTCAGAGTCCAGGGCTGAACCAGGGTCTTTCTCAAACCAAGCAGCTTCTTGGTGCCCACCCTTCAGTATCCCCTTTGGGGATGGCAGCTAAAAATGACTTTGTGGTAGGTGGTTAATTTCTGCTTGTTACTTACTAATAATTATAGCTTTGGCTTTGGCACCTCTCACCATCAAAACCAGCGGCTATTCTTAGACATGCAAGATCTGATTTTCGGATTTCTGCTGGGAATGTGAAGCTGTGACCCTCTCACAAACCCCTTGGCCCTGCTGGCCTGCCCCTTCCGCCCTGCCCCCTGCCTGCTTCCTCCTGGCCGCCCGGAGGTGCTTTGGCGGGGTCTCAGGGTGATCCTGCGGCCTGGGCACCAGGCCAAGATGGAGACAGCTCGCAGGCAGGTGGCGTGAGGGCCCCTGCACAGGGCGTGCCTGCGGGAGGCAGCTGCGGTGCCCTGCCAGCCTCCGCGGGTCAGTCCCGCAGAGTGCCCCCCGCCCCCGCCCGGAGCTGGATTTCTGGCCTGCTGCCTGCAGGTGGCTGACGTTTGCCAAGCACCGTGTGTGTGTCTGATCTTATCTCAGGACTTTATATCTCAGCTTGTTTGGCACTTGTAATAGCCATATAAAATGTGTGTGTGTGACTGCGTGTTGAGTTGCTCAGCCATCT